GGAAGAACCTGCCCGGTGGCACATCCCCTTGGAGGCTCCTTCGCCGATCAGAGCCATCGGCCTTGACGGCATACGTCCGCGTGGCTCGTCGGGGTATTGCAGCAGTAGTATCCTTCATCTTACTGGTCGTGACAACGCTCAAAGGCCACACGATCGGACCAGCTCAATCGGCTCGGAGCAGCGGTGGCCTCGGGCCTTCCCTATTGTCAGCCTTGGCCACATGCAGATGTCTTCGATAATCACCTTGGCATCAGCGGATTTCGGTCCCGCAGTGCGGTGAAGGATTCCTTCAAGAACCTGCGGTTTCGTCGGGGTGATCAATCTGGGATGCCAATGTTTATTCGCGGGTTCATCACCAGGCCAAGTCCACTGACCATGTTTTTAAGACCACTCTCACCAACCCATGTCCCATCGTGTGATTCTTTCACCGCGGTCGAGCCCCTTGGAACATGTTTTGTGCTGAGGATGGGCGAGGTACACGTTGACGATTGGCCCCTCGCCTCAAAGCTCGTATCGTTGGCTATTTTGCCACTTTGTCGGGGTTCAAGAATCACGAGCTGCGAATGATCAATTGAGTAGCACTACGGTCTGGAGTTTTGAAGTAGGGGTGAGACAGATACGGGCGAGACAGCGGTTCGTTTAGCAAACAAATCGGACTTCTGGCAAATGTTTTGCTTGCTACGCGTTTAAAAGGCGGATTGCCGATCCCAGTGCAGTTGATCACATCACCATGGGCAGTGTCTGACCTCATCAGCCACACTGTTAGTGATGAAGGCATCCCCAGGAGCCAACAAGGTACAGCTGACGTCGACACAGCGGACAGCGATGAGTGCTCAGTTCTATAATTAGGCAGGAGCGTCCGCCTCGTTGGCTGTTGCCTGGCTGGTGGTGTGGTGGGTGAGTGACAAGCCGCACTCAATCAACCTGTGGAGGGGCTTAGCAGTGAGGTGGGGCCAACAGAGAGCCCATCCACACAGCACCCGCAGCACCACAGCAGTAGGCGAAAGGGCCGGGGGACAGGCACAAGACAGGCACAACAGAAGCCGAGAAGGGGAGAATGAGCTGTGGTTTGCGGCTCAGCCTCTCGGGGATGACGAACAGGGGCCGCTTGTTCGAGGGGTCAAGACTGCCGTTTGCTTGAGCTGCCAAGGCTGGTAGGAGATTTCCGTGTCGCGGTCTTGACTCGGCACCACGCAAATTGCCTTTCCGGGCTGCGCAGTGTGCGTGTTTGTTACGGGTGAGAGCTAAGGGGGAGCAGAGGCTTAGGAAGACGACGACGATGGTGGATCAGAGCTCGACTCATTCTCTTCGGCAGTCGCGACGGTCTTTCATTGTTGGGAGCGGATGAAGGTAGGAAGGAGCAAGCTGGATCACGCAAGTGAGGCGAGCGGTGGATGCGTCAGGATGCCAATTCGCTTCCCATCTTACCGTCAGCAATGAGAAGAGTAAGCATTGAAAAAGGGTCAGCAGTGAAAAGAAAAATGCCGTGCTGGCTGTGAAAAATGCAGGCTTGGCTTGGCTGGCTCAAGGCATAGCATCTTGGGCTGAGAGCCACTGTTTCAGCTTGCTGCTTTTGGTGGTGATGGTTCACTGGGAGATGGTAACAACAACTGATGGCTGATCTAGGAAAGATGGCTGGTGAGGGATGACGCAAGTACTTCCCCACCTCGAGGACCGCAAACTGTACTTGTTACGTCGCGACGCCTCGTTGAAGACCCCTCCCAGCCAGGATGTGCTCTCCACTGCAGGGCTCTCTACTAGCCAGCTGGTACGCGTATGGGCCATCTCCGCAGGAGCTGTGATGGGCAATTCTGCCCACAGGTACCAAGGTAGGTACTGTGATGATGTAGTAGTGGTGTGCACAGCATTGGGCGATGGAGAGAGGCTTGCTGGGGCTGAGTGTTGGCTTAAGTGGAGACGGCCCTCACTGGAGAGCTCCCAGGGCCCCTGTCTATCACTGCCCATCAGTGGAGCGAAACCGAAAAGCTCACTCGCTTTGGCCGCCTGCGCCACTCAAGTCGTTTCCCAGGGCCGCGTAAGGGGGAGCCCATCCCGCCCTTCCTACCATTCCCATGGATTGATCCGCCCAGTATAAGTAAATGCATTGCTGCTGCTGCTATCATTTCATTGTATGCTATCTACTCTCGTCTCTCATCTCCCACCTCGTCCTCCCTTCGACTTTGAATACTCCATTCGATACCATCACACGCATCGGTATTCGATATCTCTCGCTACAACGACCCATCAACACTTGCATTCGCTACAAGTGCCACCATCCTCGCTCGACCACCATCTACCACCACACCAAACGAGCACCACCCTGGTCACCCCGAACAACCAGCCCCCCACAAGCAACACAAGACATCAGATCAGCACTACAATCTCAATATGGGTGTCGGTCGCTTTCTCTGCGTGGCTCTGCCGTTTATACTGTCCACGGCATCCCTCATCTTCCTCCTCATCGCCTGTCTCGGCGGTGTCTCCAACAAGGATCTGCACATGTTCCGCGTGAACACGACGAACCTCGAGATCAACCCCGCC